TTATTAAAAATTAAAAATTTAATATTTTGTCAATAAATCTGCTTATGTGGCTTGATAAGAGCTATTTTATCGTTTCAATTTATTTGGGAGTGCTTCTCGACATGGACATGCATATTGGACATTGTAAACCATTTTCGTCCCCATTAAAAAATTATGGGACACGACAGGCTGAACTTTTAATAAATAACTAGATACCATTTAGCATGTTAAAAAAAATATGACAGGAATAGAACCAAAGAAAAGGCTCTGCCACAAAAGAAAAAAAAATCCTACTGAAATGGTTGCATCGATCTCTCAATCCGCCTGCTTTTGTTTTTTTTTTTTTTTCGTTTCAATTTGTTTGGGAGTGGTTTCCGACATGCATATTGGACATTGTACTTGTAAGTTTCTAATTATTGCAATTATTTTTGCCCTTTCATATTGGCATTAATTACTGTTAATAACGTTAATGGGGCAAGTAAAGCATTTTTCATCTCCCATTTTCTTTTTAAATATTCTCATTCCCGTCTATGTTTTTGAATATACAAATTTATATTCATTTCCATAGAAATTTAACGACTACCAAAATCCATATTACATGTTTTTTTTAATAAAAATTAAAATATTTACTATTTGTTACAATAAGTAAAAACTTACAAACAGTACACACAATTAAAACAAATACAATAAACACATTAAAATGTTTAAAAGTTGAAACCCTAATAGAAATCTTTTTAATATATATAAATATATATTGGATACGGAGTAAACTTGTCTAAGGTTGGGTTTCAGATAGGGAATTTTGAGCCTGGGTCACATAAAAATATAATTATTTTAATTTGAAATTATGACAGTCTGCTACGTTTTGTTTAACCTGTTCTATGTTATATACGGCACGCTTATTTGTTCAAACTTCGTCTTAAGTCAGTTAGCATGCCTTTTGGGAAAATGAAATTGGATATAATTTTATAAAGGGTTACTAAAATTATGGAAAAAAAAATTCGTCATGAAAAAGACAAATCCACGATCAAATAATGGCAATTGTGGCATAAAGTTGGATGTGTCACAGGTCGAGACTTAAGCTTCAAATTCGTGTGATTTCGAGATCCAGACATTCACCATTTTGGGTCAGATCAATCTTCCTGTCACGATTCACACTCTTGTGAGGTATTGTCTGTTCTGATCCTCTTGACCTCACGATTTTGTCTTATAAAAGGCGCCTCACAAGCGGAAGTGATGAACCCTTATATATCCAGTGATTTCCTATTATGTTCGATGTGAAATTCAAGACTCTTTCTTAAATCCGTGACAGGAGGTACATGCATAAAAATATATATCAATTAATTATTTTAGGGTGTAGTGTTGTTTAGACATATAAATAGTGCTGACTCTCATATTAATGTTATATCACTTCGCATGCATTGTAAATAATTTAGTTCTTTTTTTTCTAAGATTATAAAAGGTTGACTTTTATAAATAATTAAGATGTGATAAGCTTTGAATAAGATGTAATGGTCAATATGAGAAATAAAGAGAAGCATGAGACTTCGGAATTTTGGGCAACATGCATTCATAATTCATCCACAAGAGAAGAAAATTTTGGCCTAGTTTGACTTTCACGAAATTTAATTAGAATAATAATTGTTGTTAAGTTGAATGTAGACAAAGAGTTATCCTTAATTGGCTGTTATATTGAAGTTTTAAAGGCAAAGCATTAATTTTTCTTTTTTTTTTTCTTTTGTAATTGCGGGTGTAGGAAGATGTTCACCATGGTTTTTTGTCTCTTTTTCCTCTCAGGTATTGACGACTTGTTCTTGTTCGTTTGTGCTATTCATCAATGGAGGGTGAGCGAGGATAATAGAAATTAGTAGGAAAGAAGTAATATTGAAGACCAGCCATGGCTTGAAAACTTGAAACTTAAATTCTTACAGGGTTTTTAGTTAGGAAGAATTTAAAATTTTTCTATGGAATATTGTTGTTAGGTATTTAAAATTTTATGTTTAGTTCGAGGTATCAATTCTTAAAGTAATTTTAGATTTTAATAATACCAAAAGTCCTAGAATAAAAAATACATGTATAATTGTAGATTTTTTTGCATTATTTGATTAAAAATATATATTTTTATCAATATTTAATTTTATATTATTTTTTAAAACACATGCATAATCAGTTATTGCATTCAATTGATGTAGTAATTGATGATTTCTTTTTTTTTTTTTTTTTTATAATTGGTCACTTGAATACTACATTTTTATGATTTGAAATGTATTATTTGTCTATTATTATTATTTAAAAAATAATTATGTTTGTTATATAGTAAAAGATATTATAATAAAAATATATAATTAAATAATCTCAGATTTCCTTCAACTAAACACAGAAATCTAAAATTAATATGTCAAGAAAAAATTACACTTTTTTGGAATCATATTTCTTTTTTTTAAATTTAACTTTTTACAAATCAAATGCCCCCTCAATGTAATTGATATGGATTTTGTATAAAATAGAGATTAAGGCTGCGTGAACGGTGTTGTTAGCATTGGTAGATTAATTAATTGAGGAAGGGATCAATGATGGCTTGGGAAAGAAAAAGATTTTTGGATTATAATTTATATGTGTGGTGGTGGAGCCTTTGCCTTGGGACTTCTACGCCTACCATTACTAGAAATTAATACAAGTTTCTTTCATCAATAATCATCATAAAAAGAAATAGATTTTATTTTATTTTTTTGGATTTAAAAGAAATCAATCTTGCACAAATTAAGCACCATATGCATGGTTACTTTACCAGGGGAAAAAGTCGACGTAATAGACAAATTAATTAATGTCTTTGAGTTCAACAAGCAATAGGCTAGTAGAAAAAAAGAAAAAAAAAGGCTACAAAGGAAAGATTTAGAAAGATAAAGTCACAATTTCGGGGGCTTCAAAATGCACCACAAAAGTTTTTTACACACCCCAATTTTTTTTTTTAAATACCTACATAATAAATACTAATTTTAACCTTTAGTAAGTAACAAAAATACCCTTAATAGCTTAAATACCCTAAAACCACTTTCGTAAATTTTGAAAATGGATTTTCAAAAGTTATATTGTATTTTTAAAAATTTATTTCTAAAAATTATATTACGTTTTCGGAAATAAAATTTCGAGAGTCATATTTAATTTTATTGGCTTCTCATAAATTCATTTCTAAAAATACATAAATTTTTGTTTAAATATGTATTTAATTATAAACACTTGATAATGCTTAATTTTATTTTAATAAAATAAATATATTTAAATTTAAAATAAATAATACAAAATAAATAAATCTAATATGCTAGGATCTACAAAAGTCTTTAATGATTTCTTCAAGATATGACTTAATTTCGACAATAGGAACTTCTAATCTTTACGTCATCAATATTGTAGTGGCAAAAATAGTAAAGGTCATTACTACTGGATTTGTCAATATGTTGATGACATTGTTAAGGTCAATGTTTTATAAGGTGTTCGAGCTCGAACTAGCATGCATGTACACACATAAGTCATTGATATGCCCATCCATCATCATCATATGTATGAAAGGAAGAAAAATGTTAGTTTTAAGCATGAATGAGTATAAAGGTGTTATTATCTTAAGATAAAAAAACTAGTTACATCCTTTTGCCGATGCGAAATCAGAAACCAGAAAATAGTATTCTTGATTTTTTGAAATATCATGAGAAAGAACAAATTTATATCATGCATACTTGAGAATATCAATTTTAGTTTTATTTGCACATATGATTAAGTAAATGAATTTATAAGCTCATGATTAAAATTTTCAGTGATTAAAAGTGAAATTGAACTTCTAAAAAATGGACGTATAAAGAAGATTTGAATTTTCTTGGGAATAGATATCTGAGGAACTTTGAGACTTCTTAAAAATAGATATTTGAGAAGTTTTGAAGCTTCTCATGAATGGATATCCAAGAAGTTTTGAGGTTTTTTGAAAATGGATATCCAAGGATCCTAAAACTTTTCATATATCTATTTTTGAAAATTCTCAAAGTTTTTGTGATATCATTTTCGAAAAGCTTGATTTTAGAAAATGAAAAAGAAAAAAAGAGAAAAGAAAGGAATAAAAAATAAAAAGTGAAGTGCGGGTTTATTTAATAAAAATAAAAAATTAAATTTTAAATTTAGAGTATATTTAAAAATGAAATGTAAATAGAATTCTTTCACACCTCGAGGTATTTTGTTTAGTTTGTACACTAAAATTTTGGTTAGTTGATTAAAATTATAAAGTGGGCGTAGTTCAAGAGAATTAGGAAAGAGGTATTCTTTTTGGTTAATGTCTAAATGAATTATCTAATTAATCGAATTTATTATTTTATTTTCATTAATTGAATCATATTTATTAATTTAAAAATATAAACAATTGAAATATAATTTGATTAATTTTTAAATGAATTGAATAGTAAAATACATTTAAATTAATTTATATTTTAAAGTTTTAATTTTTTATATTTGATTGAAATTAAATAAAATCATATAACAAAACATTTAAATATCAAAATATTAAGTTAAAATTTTTAACAACTTAAAAATTGAAACGTTAAATATAAATTTTTTATCTATATAAAATTTGATTTTAAACAGATTGAAAAAATATAATTTCATCCCTCAAAGTTATATATAATTTTTTATATTTATGCTGAAACCCAGGTGAAAATAATTTAACGCTTGTGTACAATTTAATATCTCAAACATAATCATTTAACTTCTAAGTTTATACGCAAATTAGATAATTAATTTATTTTTGACTAAAAAAATTATTATCTTGAAATTTATTTTTTAAAGCTTTTAATCAATCACTTATTTTTATATTTATCTATATGAAAAAGATATCACCAATAAAAACTCTTTTGATCGCACAACCTTCGAGCGCAGCTCTAACATTATGATAATTATTAAAAATAGAAAATAATTAATCATTTTAATATACTTTAAATAAACATGATTACGACTGACATGGATAATAATCCTATTCCTGTCTTATTATTATTTTTTTTAATCTTTTGTTAACTTGTACTACTTTCAATTGAGGCCAACGGTTGAGATTCATTTGTTAGATCCAATCGCTAGAGGGAGTGAAAAATCACAATCCTTAAAAGCTTTCACAGCAGGAGTGGCCCCGCAAAGCTTTTTTAGCCATTAGGGTTGAGGAAGAAGAAAGACCCAAAGGCCGAGAAACACCAAACCCTTCTTTTTTGGTCAGACAGACTCGGTGAGTTTTGGTTTGGGTATTTCTTAATTCTTATGTTCTGTTGTTTTACGAATTTTAAACAATTTTCTGTTTTGGCAGGCGGCGACTGCTAATTTCTCATCATGTCTTGGTGCACAATTGAATCCGATCCCGGTATGCTTATTCTAATTCAATTTGTTTGTTTGTTTGTTGTTTGTTTGTTAAGAATTACTCTTAATTTTTTATATGGTGATATCGAATGCTTCCTTATTCATTTAAGTGGTTGATGGGCTTTGCCTTTTCTATCGACATTTTCCTTTTCTTTCGTGGTTTTGTTTTGGGTATTTCATCAAGGTTTTCAAATTTGCTGATTTTTCCTTTCCTTTAACTTTTTCTGTATAATATCTTCATTAAGCTAGAGAAACAATTTAACAGGTGAGAAATGCATAAGTTAGTGGGAAATGTTGTTTCCTTGTCTGAAATTGTGGCAGAAGGAATTAGCACACTTATTGCTAGGAAAAGTGAGTACTTAATCCAAGGGGAAGGCTCTGTTTAAGATTGTTTTTTTCTATTTTGTGTATTTAGTTTCTCTTTAGTTACAGTTCTATATTCTTCTGAAGAGGGGGAATGAATTGATGTAATTCAGATATTACTTTAAATATTGTCAAAACATAACGGTGTTTTGGGTTTCATGAAAAAGCTACATGCCTTTAGTAACCTCTTCCAGTAAATGGAGTGATTCCCAATTGATAAATCAGTATTTAAAAAAAGCGCATGAAGGAAATGTGAGGGACAAGAAGTTGAAAGGAAATGTAAGGGATAGTCAGAGGGTGTTAGCTTATTAGAGCAGCAATTCATCTTATAATGACAATTGGAGGGTGATTTGGATATAAAATTTGCTAAGATTATTTTATAAGATTGCAATGAATGCCTTGGTCAGTGCCCCTCATGGGCATATTCCTTTTTTTGTTTTATATTGAAGATATTGGTCCCAATGCATCACACATGCAGATGCTTCATTGTTATCTGATTATTGTCTAGGTGTTAGATAATTGGCTCATACTGTTGTTCTATTCGTTGGTTGCATACATAGAACCTGCGTGTAATTAATAGAAGAATGCAAAATAACACACACACACACCCCTGCAAAGGAATGTCAATGTTTATTCATGGTAGTGCTAGAGGCAGTCCCTGCTATTTAAAGATGTTATAATAAGATGAATTGGAGCCTTACTGGTTACCAATTATTAGAGATAAAGTCCCTTTACATTTTTCTAATGCCTATCATTGATCCTTACCTTGACGAAATTTCGTGTCCCTTCATTGGCCTTAATAAGCACTTTTAAGAAGCCTAACAAAGGCAACTTAGTTTAGATTGAGTTGTTAGGTATTTCTTTTTAATTCTGTCTTTGCTACTTGAATAATACTTCCTGCATTGGGTTGCGTTGTATTATTCTTTTGGCATAGGATTTGTTATGTATATCTTATATTTGTTAGTTGAGATTGTACGTGTTAACATGTTGCATCAAGTGAATAATCATCTTCTAGTGCTCTTCTTGCTTACTTTAGGCTGTATTTTTTTAGATGCTCTATTTTGAGATTTAAGCTTGATGAGAATGTTTTCTGCAATGTTTTGCAGGTGTTTTTACAGAACTTATACAGCAGATGCAAGTTAAAGGCGTACAAGTAACGCTTCTTGTTTATGTGTCATAACTGGTCCCTTATGTTTGTCTTGTGGTCATCTTTGCTTATGATTTCCTCTCTTTCGGTTATTTTAGATGCATGCATGGACCGATACTATCAAAGTTCTTTTTAATGAATAATGAATAAATCAGTTTCTAGGTTAGTTACCTTGTGTGTTTTTTGTGTTGTGCTATTTAAACCATTTCATTGTCATTGCTGTGGACAAGGCATGCAATTGGAAGGTATGTTAATGGCTTTATGCATACTCTTGTTCCCTTAGAACTTAGTCCATTGCATGTGTGTGAAAGGTCTAGGATTCAAATAGCTGTGCAGTTGCGGTATAGTGGCCGCTATTTTGCGGTAGCGCCACCACCCACCACCGTTATTTAAAAAATATTGGGTGAGAATTTGAATCTCATTGATAACGGAGTGTCGCGGCTGCGAAAAACGATGTAGCGGTGAATAGCAGTCTTAATGGACCGTTATTGCCGCTGCTCCATTTTTTTGTCAGAAAACTAGAATAAAAAAAATGGCAGCCCCCAAAAAAACTTTGATTTGACATCAATCTCAATCCAGCCTCAAACAAACTTGAATTTAATCTCAAATCAATCAGCAATCCATCACAACTAATAGTTCAACACAAGTAATTTCCTTTGTAAAAAAACTTGCAAATTTCTGTTGAATTTTAATGGGACTGAACCGATCGGTGAAGTTAGCCTCTCCATCTTACATCTATTGCTGAGTGAGGGCTCTGACTCTGACGGTGAGGGATTGGGGCTCGGCCACCAGGGTGGGCCATTGGGTGGTCACGATGAGTTTTTTTGGTTGAGAATTAGGATGTGGGATAAGGAAGAAAATCAGAGCCTAAGCAGAAGCCAGACGCATGTTTCCATTACTGAATCGCCTAATCGGTAGGGCCATATCTAGTGGGAGGGGGAAGCTTCTATTTTGGACTTTTGGGTTGACTTTGAGAGTTCTGACAGTGCACATTGAGAACTAATGAGAAGTAAGAGGTTGAGATGAATGAGAATGTGAGAATGAGACTGCAGAAAATAAAAAGGAAGAGATGTCGAGAGAGGAGAGTGATTAGAGGGGAATAAAACCAAAATTTTAGTTATGGGGTAGGGACCATGGGTTTTGTTCATGTGAAATTGTTTTTTAGGGAAAATTTTGTTTATTGGAAATTTTAAAGGTTAAATTTTATGGTAGGAAAGTTTAAAATTAAATAAATTTAAGAATTAATATGAGATAAAGAAATTTTGGAGAAATTAGATAAAAATTGAGGTGATAAATTTTTTGCATAACTTAAATGAAAATTAATTAAAGTTAAATGATTTTATATTGATTTATTATTTATTATTTTATATTTTATATTTGAATTTTATTAATGATATTTTGTTTTGGTATTTGTATTGTTAATTTCTTTAGTATTAGATTAATTTTTATTATTATTATTTTTGTGTATTTAAATAAAAATTGAAAGTTCAATCCCTTGTATAATAATTTAAAAGTAATTTATGATAACAATTTTAAATTAATTAATGTGTAAAAAGTTAAAATACTCAATAAATTACTGCATTTCAAAATCATAAAATAATAAATATTTAATAGATTATTTCATTTAAAAATAAAGTAAATAAAAGATATGTGATATCATAAACTATTTTAAAAATTATAAAATAAGAGTTTTTATAATTATAATTATAATTACAATATTTTATAGTATATTGTGCGAAATTAAAAAAAATTCACGATTGCGATAACTGTGATGGCCGCAATAGTCTCTATTATGTCTGCAATCGCAATAAACGTGACGTGACCGAAAACGCGACCGCAACCACAATTTAAATCCCTATGAAAGACTTAAGGATTCCTATAATATAGCCGCTTAAGCTTCTATTCTATCTTGTTTCTCTTGGATCAGTAGAAACTAAGTAAATTACTGTTGCAAGAGATGAGAAGAAGAATTGTAGGAAGGAGGGAGGGAAAACTCAAATCACTGAATTGTAAGTTCTCCAAGAGCTCTTAATAACTGACCTCTTAATAACATTTTATGAGAAATCAACTCTAGAATCCTAGCAATACTGAGAAATATATATAGGCACCCAGTAAATTATTAACTTGTCTTGTCCTAATGGGTTAGGATTCTGACAATCATTAAATTTAGGACTGTATTAAAGTAATTTGATCTAAGGAGTCCTTTCAAAACCCTCATAATTAAACTAAACCCTAAACAAGAAACAAAGGACCATATGACTAATGCCCTTAGCAGCAAAACAGAAAATTGCCAAATTCCTTTGGATGATAAACTGATAAATTTGTTTTAATGTCTAATTAGCCACCGAGGATGTCTTCCTTGGATTTAAAGGACTTCTTTGACAATACAGAAGCCATGATCCCAGCCTTCCAAAAAGGATGATATCTTCTAACCAATCTATTGGTCTATCATTAGTTTACATTAAAACTGCCGTGCACCTGTTTATAGGGTAATTAGGCCCTACTTAATTGGATTAGATTGTGTTGGTGTTAAATAAAATTGTAACCATTGCCATCCCTACCCACTGTCTTTGCTATTTTGTTTGTTCTTTTCCCATTTGTTTAACCGTGTAAAGCTATTGAAGTCTATCCTTGTGTCGTCGGTGCATAGGTGTGCATATTCTTTAAATATGTCTGAATGTATTGTATCTGCATTATAGTATTATTGTTTGTGTTTCTTTTACCTGTTTTATACTGTCATGATGATTTATGTCTGAATGTATTGTTTATGCAGTATACTGTTATTTTTTGTGTTTCTTTTACCTGCTTTATACTGTCATGACGACTTATTTGTGAATGTATTGTCCGTGCAGTGTAGTATTATTGTTTGTGTTTTTTTTTTTTTACCTGCTTTATACTGTCATGATGACTTCTGTTTTGGCAGGTAGAGGAGTTGTATTCCTTGGATCTTGATTCTCTAAACAATCTTAGGTAAGTTCCTGCTTGGTACTGGCCATTTTACATTACCGCATTTGAATCTTTTCCTTCGTAATTTTTCTTTCCTTGCTAGGCCTGTGTATGGGTTGATTTTCCTTTTCAAATGGCGCCCAGGGGAGAAGGATGAACGTCTTGTAATTAAGGACCCAAACCCTAATTTATTCTTTGCTAGCCAGGTCTCTTTCAAATTCATAATATCTGCAGTCTGATATATTTGCAAACATCAGCTGAACTTATTGTTCCTACGTTTTCATAGGTCATCAATAATGCTTGTGCTACACAAGCAATATTGTCTATTCTCATGAACTGCCCAGATATTGATATAGGCCCAGAACTATCAAAGTTGAAAGAATTCACTAAAAACTTTCCTCCAGAACTCAAGGGTCTGGCTATAAATAACAGTGAAGCTATACGTGCAGCCCATAATAGTTTTGCGAGGCCTGAGCCTTTTGTTCTGGAGGAGCAGAAGGCTGCTGGGAAAGATGATGATGTCTACCATTTCATAAGCTACATACCGGTTGATGGGGTTCTCTATGAGCTTGATGGACTGAAGGAGGGACCCATTAGCCTTGGTCAGTGCCCTGCTGGTCCAGGTGACATGGAATGGTTGAAGATGGTACAACCAGTAATCCAAGAACGTATTGAGAGATATTCCAAAAGTGAAATACGATTCAATCTCATGGCAGTTATCAAGAACAAGAAAGAGATGTACACTGCTGAACTTAAGGAGCTCCAAAAGAAGAGGGAACGCATCTTGCAGCAGCTGGCTATCATACAGTCAGACAGACTTACAGACAAAACCAGTTTTGAAGCACTAAACAAACAACTTTCAGAAGTGAATTCGGGGATTGAGGGTGCCACCGAGAAGATTTTGATGGAGGAGGAGAAGTTCAAGAAGTGGAGAACTGAAAATATTCGTAGGAAACACAACTACATTCCCTTCCTGTTCAACTTTCTTAAAATTCTCGCTGAAAAGAAGCAACTGAAACCCCTTATTGAGAAAGCTAAGCAGAAAACTATCACCCCTAGGTGAAGTGTTTCTTGTTTTGTTTCTCTTCTTTTGGTTGACTAGATGCCCAGTCGAAACTACAGGTTTAGTGCAAATCCAAGAAAAAGAGTGAGCATAAGACCCTTTATGATCATTTATAACTTTCTCCGTGGATTTATTTTAGTCTTTTCTTCCTTGTTTTGATGACAACAATCTGCTCAAGATAAGCAACCTTTGGGTGATCGAACATGCTTCGGAGTCAGATAGTTTGGTGCCACTTTAGCTCATGAGTAGGAGTGTATGCATCAAACAATAGCTATTCAAGTTTCTATTGTCATTTGCACTATTTTACGGGCAGGGCCCTCATCTCAAAGGACTAGCCTATTGGGTGAGGTCAGGTGATTTAGTCTTCTATTTAAGTCCAAGCTTTGGACTCAGCACACAACAGCATCATGTGACAGCTCTTTCGATCAATCCTTGATACCCGACCCACACCGTTATGTGGGGTTTGGTGTAGTGTCCCAATCTGATACAGTAGTGATTCAGCACAGCTCGCTTATCACCTGTTCCGGGATTAAGTTTATGTCAGCCCAAAAAATTGGTTTATTAGAAGATATGACCTAAAATGGTACGATGATACGGAAAAAATGATATAATAAAATGATACAGTTTAAAATTGTAATAAAAATTATATATAGGTTTAATCAAATTAAAAAAAATTATGTTATTATGTTGATATGAATTTTGATATGTAATTTTTATTTAAAATATGATATGAATATATTAATTATCAAGTTATATTGACTATTTATTTAAAGTTCAATATCACTTTAGTACACAATTCTGTGAGAAACTCAACTCACACATGCGCCATGTTACACTTAATTCTCTTCAATTGAATGCATATGCTGTGAAGAACATCTTTCTCATTTCAAAAATTGGTGTGGTTCAGTATGTTAGTTAATACAAGAAGATTTTTAGAGGCATGCTTTGGTCACATTCTTAATGCTTGCTCTTTAAATATAATACATCAACAGGAAGATAGATCTTTTTGTAGCTATTACCTTCCTTCTAGACCTTTCCCATAGCTTCTTTTATGGGAGAGTCTGTAAAATTATGAGAAATTCTCTTGTTTCTAGAAAGAATTCATTTAGTTTTAGAGCAATAAGCATTGATGCTTGGTTTATATATATATATATAAAATAACAAAGCCAGATTGTCCCTAGCTCTCCCTGTTGCAAATTTGCAATGGCGACTTTGAATTTTAAACTTAGCTTTCAAAGCATTTTCCCTTTGAATGCAGAAGATGCAAAAGAAGCATTTGAAAAATACTATTGATGGACACAAGAAAATCTACTTCTCAAGGTACTCAAGTCATTTCACAGTTTGCCCAATTGTGAGGAATATTTGGATCAGTTAGCACTAAACGAAGACCAATCCCCCTAATTGGATGTGTAGGACAGGACTAAAAGCCCCCATAAGCCAAGCCCAGACCAACTCGCTGAAATCTCCGGCCTCGTCTCCAAAACCCTAACCATATAAATCTCTGCCATTTCCTTTCTTCTTCGCCTCCTCCCACTTGACACTAAACCCACTCAAAACCCCTAACCAAAAGCAAGAAGAAACCATGTCTGAGGTTGATCTCTCGCGTGCAGACAAGAAAAAACACAAGAAAAAAACCATGTCTGAGTCTGAAACCAAAGAATCCGACCAAGATTTCATGATCAAACCCCAGAGCACCACCCCTTCCATCGACACTTCCCAGTGGCCTATCCTTCTCAAAAACTACGATCGCCTTAACGTGCGAACCGGACACTACACTCCCCTTCCCTCCGGTTTCTCCCCTCTCAAGCGTCCCCTTGCTGAATACATCAGGTACGGCATTTTGAACCTCGATAAACCCTCTAACCCTTCTTCCCACGAAGTTGTTGCTTGGATTAAGCGTATTTTGCGCGTCGAAAAGACTGGTCATAGTGGAACTTTGGACCCCAAAGTCACTGGGAATCTCATTGTTTGTATTGATAGAGCCACACGGCTTGTTAAATCCCAACAGGGTGCAGGCAAAGAGTATGTCTGCGTTGCCCGTTTGCATTCCAAAGTGCCCGATGTCGCTAAGGTTGCTAGGGCCCTTGAAACTTTGACTGGAGCTGTTTTTCAGAAGCCGCCGTTGATTTCGGCTGTTAAAAGACAGCTTAGGATTAGGACTATTTACGAAAGTAAGCTTCTTGAGTATGATGCAGATAGGCATTTGGTTGTTTTCTGGATTTCTTGTGAGGCAGGTACTTATGTTAGGACTATGTGTGTTCATTTGGGATTGATTCTTGGGGTTGGTGGGCATATGCAGGAACTTAGGAGGGTTAGGTCTGGAATTTTAGGGGAGAAAGATAATATGGTGACAATGCACGATGTTATGGATGCTCAATGGGTTTATGATAATTATAGAGATGAGGCTTACTTGAGGAGGGTGATTATGCCGCTTGAAGTTCTTTTAACTAGTTATAAGAGGTTGGTTGTGAAGGATTCTGCTGTTAATGCTATTTGTTACGGGGCAAAGTTGATGATTCCAGGATTGCTGAGGTTTGAGAATGATATTGAGGTTGGAGAGGAAGTTGTGTTGATGACTACTAAAGGAGAGGCGATTGCATTGGGAATTGCAGAAATGACGACTGCTGTGATGGCTACTTGTGATCATGGTGTGGTGGCAAAGATTAAGAGGGTGGTTATGGATAGGGATACTTATCCGAGGAAGTGGGGTTTGGGGCCAACTGCATCCGCGAAGAAGAAACTGATTGCAGAAGGCAAATTGGATAAGCATGGAAAGCCAAACGATAGTACTCCTAAAGAGTGGTTGAGAAATGTTGTGTTGCCAGCTGGTGGGGATTCTACGGTTGCTAGCCTTGCAGCTTCTGCTGAACCGGCTGTGAAGAGTAGTGAGACAGTGGTGGAAAAGGAAAAGAAGAAAAAGGGCAAGGATGAGGAAGATGGGGAGGGACGCAAGCGCAAATTGGATGAAAGCAGTGATAGCCCTGTTCCAGTTGTTGTTAAGAAAGCTAAAGTTGAGGAAGCAGAAGTTGAAGTTGAAGTTGAGAAGAAAGAGAAAAAGAAAAAGAAGAAGGATAAAGAGGATGGTGATGCAGAAACTGAAGTGAAGACTGAGAAGGAGAAGAAAAAGAACAAAGATAAGGTTGAGGCTGGTTCACCAGATACAGATAAGTCTGAGAAGAAAAAGAAGAAGAAGAGCAAAGGGAGCGAGGAGGCTTCTGATGTTGTTAATGGTGCAAATGAGGCAGGGGCTGATAAAAGTGAAAAGAAGAAAAAGAAGAAAAAAAGCAAAGATGTAGTAGAGGAGTAGATGAGCGGGTTTCAGAACTTTCCTTTTAATAGGAAATCGGTTTTTCCTTGTATGTTTGGCACCTACAGTAACTTTTTAGTAGTGTTTGCAGTTTCTCAATTTAGTTTTGGCAGAAACAATTTTAACGATTTACTTTTGTGTAATGGGATGCTTTCATTATCTATGATATTTTTCTTTCATTCTCCATTATTTGTTTCATTATTTTTTGGTCCCATCATCACAATCTCATGTTAATGTTTTTTCTTCAACCATTTTCAACAGGTATGGTTGCATTCTAGTGATAACGGAAGCTTATGAAAGAACTGTGAGGAAGTTTTAAAGCAAATGCCTAGTTCAATTTACCATGACAAAGCAAATGGAAATCTTCTGTCATTTGACATTGTGGATCCAACAGAAATTTTACTTTAATAAAAACTGAATTCATATGAGATATCATCGATTCATTTGGTTTTCTTCATTTTGTTTTTACAGCCGTATTCGATTTTTAAGTACAAAGCAAGCAAATGAAAATGTTTCCTAGTTGGTATTCTTTTGTATCCTCCCAAAATCCTGCTGTAAGAATATTCGAAAATGAATCCAAGATTGAAATCAAAGACTTGGAAGTTGGGATTCTAGGTTCTTAACCATTGGCTGCTGTGAGTAGTTATTATCACTCCATGTAAAAATATGTGATAGTATTTGGTTTGATTTAATTTAATGTCTCAAAGATATCAAATGGGAAAACTAAAAATCGGATCGCCATGGTTGTGACTACAGTTTCTGGATTGTGCTCACTAAACTACTAGGTTGAAGCAAATTCTCCATTTTCTTTTTCTTCCTCCATTAATGCCACACAAATGCTGGATTAGGGTACTTTGCTTGCCACTGTTTGATTAGCTTTACAAAAGAATTGAAGCATATGTATGCAGAACAAGGTTCACCTTTTTCTTTCCTGCAGATTTCAGGCAATTCGTTTCCTAGCAACCACTGAAATAAGCATGTTAGCAGAGATTCTGGGACTGCTAGGAAGAAGTTTTCATGTACTTGTTCAATTAATAATAGTTGTCTACTTGGGTTTCAGTTTGATTTTGGCTTTTCCTTTCATATGAATGGTGTCTATTCATACCAATTCATACGAATGTGTTTGCTGTGGAGCAATGCTAAGAATACAGGATCTAACTCTTTTCTAGTTTTCCCAACATATGCATGCTTAAAATATGCTTTGAGGTTTTAGAAAAATCTTGCAACTTACAACCTTCACAAAATTACAACTTTCAGCCTTTACATTGCTATCTCCTAAATGGACAATAAACAACGATCATTCCAATTTCCATTGTTTTTCTGCTGTGATGCATCTCCCTAACAAATTGATGCTTCAGGGCCATTCCAATTGACCATATGAAATAGCCATTCTTTTGGCCATACCTGCAAAGAAAAGAAATTATCACGATGAAGCAAATTTTCAGTTGAAGAAAGGATATTAGCAGGGTTTTTTTTTCCATATCAATGACATATCCTATGAATGCTCTACTAAGTGAGATTTTAAGAAAAAAGATCAGGTATATATGCTTCGTCTAGAATTTCATGACTAAATAACTGATTTAAACAAAATCAGGTGTAGAAATGGTTGGCTTGTCTGTATACTTAGTTCTTTTGAGGTCCTTTTATTGGAAATGATTAGCTTCTTTTACTCTACAGGTTCCCTATTGCTAACGTCATCCTTCTCAGAAATGATGAACAAGTGTTGGGGTCCGTGTTCTTACCTTGTAGACTAATAGCATGTTGATTGGCTTTTGCTGGAGAAGCTGCTGCATAAGGGTTTTTGATGGCTCCAACTTGGAGTAGGAATGACCGTTTCAAAAGCTTCTACAAGCAGCTCCACTCTCCTTTTCCTTTCTGGAGTTAGTCTGGCAACCACTTGTTGAAGTGCATAATCTAACATCCATTCTTCAGAATTTTTTCTGTCTTCCATGTTTTGATGCCTTAGGAGAACTTTCTCGGTTTCGGGAGATGGATCTAAGGGCAGGTATCGAGGGCCCCGTGGGTTAAATTCTCTGACCTTTTCCAATGCCTTGACAAATCTCCTAAGCAGGATTAATTTTTTCAGGTTGCTCCAATTTCTTTGCACTCTCTTCTTCGATTTATTTCCCTCCTCTCTTCCTCTTTTTGCTTCTTTTTGGATGCTTACATTTTCATAATTCAGTATTTTCTCTTTGGAATTCATGGTTGAACAAAGTTCTGCTCTTATGTCTTTTGCTTCTTCGGAATTCTCTTTAGCAGTATCAGTAGAACTTGAGGTGAATTTTACCTCTTCTTCACCATGTTTCTTTTCTGGGAGTTCTTGATCCGGAATTACATCACCAGTAACTGATTGATTGTCTGATGTGTCATCTCGACTTTCTGGAAGAGGTATTTCATCTATTGCTTCTTCTACCATCTTTATAATCTCATTGTTGTGCCATTCAATATTTTGGCTGCCTGTTGTGTGATTCTCCATCATATCCTGGCCCGCTACAAAATAATCTTGGCAATCAGCATTATTCTCTCTGGAATGTTTGCTGGCATCGTCGTCTGCTACATTCTGAAGCGGTTGAAATCCATTTTCTGTGGCAGTACCTGACACCATGTGCTTATATATTAAGTACCAAAGCCTCATGTATTTTTGTCTTTCCAAGTTGGAAATATCAGCAGAAAAATTGGACACAGATTGTTCTAGCGGACCGACTTCTTTTGGGCATTCAGGTTTACCAGGGTGCTGGTCAGCTGAATTGATCGGGTCATAGGACTCCAAATCCATCTCTATATTTAATTCAGAACCCTCATTGCAGATATCTGAATTGAGAATTAAAATTTCTTCCTTTGAGATGTTTTGAATAACTTCTTCATTTACTGGAAAGAATTTCTCATCAGAGGTCCCTACTGCACCCTCATTTAAGGACTTGTCAGATAGTCTGGGTTCTTCAAGTTCTGACAATGAGAGATCAACCAACTTCGGGTGAACATCCATGACAGACAAAACTTCCTTTCCATTGTTGTCATCGATTGCACCAGTATCTTCTTTCTTGAAGTCTGTACCACTCATTTCAGACCCTGCTGTAGACAATGATTGTTCTGTGCAGCCACAGAGCAGACTTGTTTCTTGGGGCTCAGGAGATGCTTTTTGGATTTGCTGGTATGCTGTATGGGATTCACTGGCTTGGTCTTGATCATCTCTGGAACTCATTTGAGTGTGCGATGCTTTGCCTGGCAATATTTCAGAACCATTTTCATTTTTTGTGCTGTCACCATTGTGATCCAAGGACTCACTGTAGGCTTTAACAGAAGTTTTAGGTGGAGAAACTGCTGCATTGGACCTCATATCATCCCTATTTTCAGGTAGTGGGATGACTGTTTCAAAAGCTTGAACCAACAAAGCTACTTTTCTTTTTTGAGATGGAGCCAATGTGGAAATAACTTGGCGAAGTACATGATCAAGCATCCATTCCTCAGCCTTTTTTCTCCCTTCCATATTTTGATGCCTCAATTGAATCTTTTCTGCTTCTGGGTCTTTGTCTACAGGTAGATTACCGATTGTTCTTGGCTTTAAGTTCCTCACCTTTTGTAATGACTTGACAAATCTGTTGAGGATCATTATTTTTTTCAGATTGCTCCAGCTGTTTGGCATTTGCTTGTCAGACCTTTTTCCTTCCATTTGGGCTACTTTCTCTTCTTCGGATGCAATTTTGTTTTCAGTTTGAAGCTGCATTTCTTCTCGATCTTGTACCACACAGTCTTCAATGCAATTGAAGGAAGTTGAGATGCTCACTTCTTTGCCTTCATCCTGCTTCCTTAACAAGAATTCCTGGTTTGAAGTTATCTCACCAGCAATTGATTGATCATCTGATGAGTGGTCTGGAATTTCAGAGAGTATCTTGTCAAATGCTTGCTGTACCAGCTTAGTGGCATCACTTTGACTGAACTCAAGTTGCCGGTTGCTTGCTTCGTGATCTTCTATGCTCATAGCCTGATCTGTCCATGAAATTTCCTGACGAGAGTCATTTTTTTCACGTGCATTATGCAGATTTTCTACTTGTTCTTCTGAATTCACTCCAGGAATAGGTTTTTGAGTTTCAGGTTCAGTAACAAGACCTGTAACCATATGTTGATATATCAATTTCCAAAATATGAAATTCTTTTGATTTTCCGTCTCTGCTTTGCGTGCTGCATCAGCACTACTAGCAGCCATAGAATCTGCAGTTTGAAGGATCCCATGATCTAGATTAGAATCTTCATTCTTCTCTCCAATAGCTGAAGTTGGTTCTTCATTAACACCTCTGTGAGCTTCTTCATCCACTGGAACCCTTTCATTAAAGGAGCTTTTAGTTTTGTCAGGCTTCAAGGACAGTTTGTCAAACTGTCTTGGTTCTCCAAACTCCTGTGAACTAACATCTCCACACTTGGAATGGCCAACAATGTGAATGGACTTTTGATCTCCATTATGAGGGTTGATTTTTACAATTTCTTCTATGTTGATCTTGGCACCGGCGGTATCAGAAATTGCTTTATGCTGTTCTGCTCCAATCCCACTGCAATCCACACTTCTGTCCTTGAATAATTGAAATGTCCCTGGAATCTGCTCTTCTACTCGAAGCGGGTTATTGCTATGGTGCAGATTCTCTTCATGACTAGGATTTGGATATGATGATTCACTGGGCGCATTCTCGGCCAAATTTACAGAATCACTGCCCTCATTTACTGAGACTGAAGGGATCTTTCTGAAATCCATAGTTTGTTGAACTGCAAATCCAAAATCTCCATTAGAGACTCTTTTCTCTGTTTGGTGTCCTTTCTTTCTATTACCAGAATGCGTTGCTTTACCAGAGGATTGACAGTCTGGTTTCAAGCTCTTCTGGCTCTTTGCCACTCGCCGCCTCATCGATACAAACCTCTTCAATGGAAGTTTATTACCATGGTGATGGCCATGAAGAGAGCAATAACTATATCGGCAGACATTCGAGATTGCAGTTCCATCAGATTCACTTCCTCCTGGTTTAATCTCTACATGGTCTGGAAATTTGGAATCTTTGAGAGTCGAGGAACAGGTAGCTCTCTCTATGCTTGAGTCTGAAATGGAAGAAATTTCAGAGCATTTCTTTGTCCTCATCGATTTCAAACTTGCCATTTTAGTTAAGATCCTCGTAGGTCCCAATATAGATGTTCTTAGAACTCCAGTGGATTTGTCACCAGGATAAGCTAACTTTTGTTTCTCATTTGTTGAAATTTTCTTATCCTGCTCACTGCTATCAAAACTAGATTCAGAATGACGTGGGCTTGCCTGTAACTGCTCCTTCTTCATATCAGAAGAACTCGTTGCCTTCAAGTAATGAGGTGACGAATCTACCTCGCTGGATGGAATGATAGAATGCTGATCATCTATGGAAATTACCTCTCTCCTAGATGGTTTCTTCAGTTTCTTCTTCAAGTCAGTTCCTCCAGAAGATTTCTTCAGCTGGGGCCTTCTGAATTTCATGCTGGACTTTCTTGTTACACTTCTTAGAAGCTTAAAACTAGATTGCGTTTTCAATGTTACCGGTAATACCTGTTCACAGGAAACAATATTTGGTTTTCGAACAATTTGAATTTTCACTACAATTAACAGTATTAAAACTTTGTTCTGGAAATTCTGGTACTTGCCTGAAAATTCTCCTCCTTTGCATCAGAAGAGCTTGTGGCGTTTATAAGATTTGGTGATGAATCAGATATGTCGAATGCAGTAGAGTGTTCCGAGCTCGCTGCATATCCTGATAACTTGGCACGAAATTGATTGGATGAAGACCTTCCCTTTCTTGTTGATGGCAGCCTTGAGACCTTGATTGATCTCAACTTCTTCATTTTCTTCTCTGCTTCTGTTCTTTCTCTGTTTCTGCCACCCTGATTTTCAAAAGATGATTCGATCGTAGTTGACATCGTTTCTGGTCCCATGAAATAATCAGAATCTGCTTCAACTTCAAGCTTGTCAGCAATCATTCTTGGATTTGATTTTCCAGACTGGAAAAACAAGAGGCCTGAATTTGGTTGAATAAAAACTAATGCTTACAAGGAAGATTCTTGTTTTTGGAGAAGTAGCTGAATACTTATTACCTGATTTCCAAGTATTTTAATAATTTCTTCCCAACCCAATTTGAATGTAGCTTGGAGACTTGTAAAATTGGAGGAAGTCTAGATGCCTTACCTGTACAAGGGGGAAACAGCTATTGACTTGGTCTTTGTTGAATTAGACTCAAATCTTTTTCCATGCCTTTGGTTTGTGGACCTCAATTCATACTTTTGTTAAGCACTTTTATTCACTTATACCCATGGCAATGACATGTAAACATAAATGAAAACTCCATAGTTGATTATAATTAATAAGTGGCAATGCTCTAAGAAGGAAAGTTATTAAATATGATGAAAAAATCTATAAACCATGTGCACCCAAGCTTGCTTTTTCCATAATTTCTAGCATATGTTGCCCAGTTGGCTCATCTTGTTTGTTGGGTATTGATGCTTCATAATTGATATGCCTATCTTTAAGTTTTTATTCTACCTTTCCGGTAGTAAAATTAATCTAATGATCAATAACACATGATATTATGAATCTCAATTCTTAAACTATTATTTTTCTACCAAATACAGTATGAAAAAAACCAAAGTCTTGTTTGAATGTTTTATTCATTTGTTGCAATGAATGTAATTTTGTAAATAGAATTAATTTTCCATTTATGACAAAAATAACAGGAAATTAGACGGCCGACACTTGAGATTTGGATCATAGAAAATAAAATAAATAAATAAATAAATTAGTTTGAGTTGGAAAGCCGCAACTGAAAATGAAGAAAAAAGACATTAAAAAAACCGTGTGGGCTCACTAAAACTTTGATGGATGCTGAACACTCCATCATGATTGCCGAGGGCCTTTGATCAACAAAAGGAGACTTTGTTAAAAGTTTGTCACGTGCCCAAAGTCCTTAGACCACGACATGTGATTATCAAAGTGCTACCAGCTTTAACCTGAATTTTAATTTAATTTATTAAAATTATTTTTTAAAAATAATATTTAATAATTTATAAATTTTTTATCTCAAGATATAATTTTTTTAACTCAAAACTTAATTCAATTGATTTATATAATAACTTTTATCAAATAATTTTAAATTTTAATACTTATAATTTTCTATCTCTAAACTACCACTTCTTAGATAAAAAATTGGTAAGCTCTCTTCCTTCTTCTATCTAGATGTGTAATTTTTGGATTTATAGGTTAAATATTACTTTAATTATTGCACTTTCATCAATATTATAATTTGACTCACCCTTTTTTTTTTTTTTATAAAATCATTGAACTACTTTAATTAAAGGGTTTGTAAGATAAAAAGGAAAATTCAATATAAAAATAAAATCAGCATCAATGCAATATATTAGTTTACAATAATAAAATTCAACATTCTTTTATAATAATAATAATAGTAATAATATTCAATATTGAATGGCAATTTTTATATTTACTAGTATGATAACCCGCTTGTTACCGCAAGTAAAATATTTTTTTTATTTTGTTGGCTTTATTTATCGATTTTTTTATCATAAAATTTATCTAATTAAAAAAAATATAAAATGTCAAAAAAGCCAAATGAAAATAGCACATGAATATTTCAATTGGCTTTTTTCAATAAATTTTACTTAATTAAAAAATTAAAATTTTAAAAAAATAAAAAGGGCAAAAACAAAAATCAAAAAATAAAAAAAAAAGTCTTAGAAGTTGTTAATGTAACACTTTTATTGAGCTTAAAATATTAATTTTTTAAAATTAAAGTATTAAATAATAATTTTATTAATATAATATATAAAGTTAAATTAATAATAAATCATATAATTTTATATAAGGATAATTACGGATTAAATTTGAATAAGTTTTTAGATAATGTATAGCATTATAAATTTTAAAAATTCGGTCTGAATCAAACTAACCTTTTATATGATCCAATTTAAATCTAATTCTCCCAATTTGGTTCACTTCATCTATTTTTTAAATTAAAATTAAATTTTTTTATTTTTATATATTATTTTAATATAATTTTTAATAAATTTAAATAAATTTAGATATAAAATAATAATTTTATTTTATAAAAAATTTAAAAATATATAAAAATTAGTAACAATATATAATTAAATTCGTTTTGATTTTTTACTTTTTGATTCAAATTTAAATTAAAATTTAGTATATATAAATCTAATATCTAAGCTTAATTCAAAACGAATAAGAAAAAAAATTGATCTAAATTGAATGTTATGATTTCTAATCACTTTTGGTTTACTGATTTTTTCTCATCCCTACTTTTATTTATACCTCATAATAGGTTGGGATATAACACCCTAAACACACTTTCATCTTGATCTCGTTTTCAAAATAAAAAAAAATTGACCAATCCTACCTCGATCTCTTTTTAAAAATAATTGTCCCTTATCGAATTAGGATGGACTAAAATCCATTTTATACAAATTATTTTAGTATTTTCATCAATTAACACATTTTGTTACATGAAGAATAAAATCTTTACAAGTATTTTTTTTATAATCTCGATGATATCTTTAAAAACACAAGACATACCCCGATATCAAGTAAGTATAAAAACAAAATTTAAACGATATTTTATTAAATTTTTTAAAAAATAAAAAAAGATTAAAAAATAAAAAAAATGTATAAGTAGCTTCTCACATAAACAATAAATCATTTAAAAATATTTTTTATAATTTTAAAAAAATATTATTACATATTTACTTATAAAAGGAAAAACTTAAAAAGGATAAAAAAGAAAGCAAAAAAATTGATATAAGTGGGTTTCACATGTAACAAATAAAATCTTTAAAAAATATATTTTAATAATTTTTAAAAAGTTTCTTAAATGTTTTTTTTTTTAAATTGGAAAAAAGTTTAAAAGGACAAAAAAGAAAAAAAGTTAGATATAAATGAATCCCACACATAAAAATAAAATCTTTAAGAAAATAAATATTTTTTATAATTTTAAAAAATATTTATTAAATATTTAAAAGAAAAGTAAAAAAAAGCAACAAATAAATAAGCAAAAAAAAGAGAGAGAAAATAGGATGAGGTTCACATGGCACATTGTGGGAGGAGTACTGTGTTTCGTACATTGGCAAAATTAATTGTATGGACTAGCATAATATTGATGCGTTACCGCAGGTCAAATTTTTTTTGTTTTGTTATAATTATTTATTGATTTTTTATCATAAAATTTACCTAATTAAAATAAAACAAGAGAAAAATGTCAAAAAAGCCAAATAAGAATGACACATGGATATTTCAATCAAACCTTTTTTTTTTTACAAATTTTATCTAATTAAAAAATTAAAAATAAAAAATTCAAATAAGTGAAAAGGATAAACACAAAAAAAAAAAAAAGCTTACAGAGAGTGTCAATGTGACACTTCTACTGAGTTTAAAATATTAATTTTTTAAATTAAAATATCAAATAATAATTTTATTAATATAATATAATATAAAATTAATAATAAAACATAGACTTTATATATGGATAATTATATATAAATTTTGTTTAGTTTTTTGATAATTTATAGTATTATGAATTTTAAAAATCCAATTTGAATTTGAATTGACATTTATATGATTTAATCCAAAACGAATTTTATCAGTTTAGTTTGTTTCATTGATTTTTTAAATTTAAATTTTTTTTATTTTGTATATATTATTTTAATATAATTTTTGATATATTTAAATAGATTTAGATATAAAATAATGATTTTATTTTATAAAAAATTTAATAAAAATTTATAATTCAATTCATTTTGATTTTTTACTTTTGATCCAAAATTCGATTAAAATATAATATATACATTCAATATTCGAACTTAATTCAAAATAAATAAGAAAAAAACTTATTTGAGCCAAACATTAAGATTTCAAATCACTTTGGATTTACTCAAATTTTTTCTCACCTTTATTTTTATATATACCTTGGAATGGATTGAGATAAAATACTATAAACACACATTCATCCTAATCTCATTTTTTTTTAAACCTAAACTAATCCTAACTTAATCTCTATTTTAGAAAAATTGCCCCCTATTTGAATTAGAATGGATCAAATCCATTGTACTCAAATTATTTTAACATTTTTATCAATTGACAATTTTGTTACGTAAAACAAATTTTTAAAAATATATATTTTATAATTTGAAAAAAAATTCATTATATGTTTCAAAAGAAAAAGATAAAAAAACAAAGGAAAAACATAAAAAACATAAAAATTTCACATGGCAGCCCAAAGATAATGTATTGTTGATAGTACATTAACAAAATTTATATTTTAGATTAAATAGATAATAAAATATATATTTTTATAAATACTATGGAGTGGCTTAGGACAAAACACTATAAATCCACTTTTAACTAGTTTTTGCATTTTTTTTATAAGAAACAAATCTGACTTGATTTAATAATATAATACACATATATATATATAAATTAAATTAATAAAAAAATATGTTTATTTATATATACCATGAAATGAGTTGAAATAAAATACCTTAAACATGCTTTCGCCTAATATCATATTTTATAAAAAAACTTGATCTATCCCAACTTGATCTCGATTTATAAAACATCGTTCCTTATTGAATCGAGATAAATTAAAATATGTCAGATATGTATTGTTTCGGCATCTAAATCAATCAACATATTTTGTTATAAAATTTACCTAATTAAAAGTACAAGAAGCTGAAAGAGTAAAAAGACAAATGAAGTATTACGTAGACATTTTTATTGTCCTATTTTTCAAAAAACAATTAATTTAATAAAAATGCACAAAAAATAAAGGAAAAAATGAAAAAAAAGAAAGGAGTTTATGGGGTATTATATGAATATCTCAATTGAGTTTAAAATATTAATATTTTAAATAAAATATTAAATAATAATTTGATTAATTAAAAATTAAAAAAATAAAAATAGGGTATGAAGTGTGCACATTTATTTCTTTTTTTCTTTAAAAATTGATCTTATTTTAAACAAGAAGAAAAAAAATTATGAAAAAAACTGAGTTACCATACAATATTTGTAATGATAAATTTTTCTTGAAAATTAATGTCATGGATTTTAAAAAATAAAAAAACCAACCAATAGAAAAAAATCAAATCCAAGTTTGACATCAATACATTCACTAATATTTTTTTCTTTAAAAAGTATAAAATTTTAAAAAATAACAAAAATATATATTTTAAGTAATCACATCAAATAGACTGCATTTTAAAGAAAATTTAAAATATCTTTCAAAATATTGAATTTTTGTAAAAGGAAAATAAATATTAAATAGAAAAAATGCAAAAAAAGAAGCAAATAACTTAACACATGATATATTCTTAATATCAAATGAATTTAAAAGAATAAAATATAAAAATTATTTATTAAACATATAAAAAGAAAAAAAAAACATGTGATAATACATTGGTATCAAATGGATCTAAAAATAAACTCTAAAAGAAATCCTTATTAAATATTTTTTTAAATGAAAAAATTAAAAAATGTTAAAAAAAGGAAAAAAAAATTGTATAAGTAGGTCCTCGCATAAATAATAGAATCTTTTTTAAAAAATATTAGTACATATTTATTGAAAAAAAAGCAAAAAAACGTAAGAAAAGAAAGTAAAGAAAATTTTGGTAAAGGGGGTGACTGTTACACATAAAAAATAAAACCTTTTAAAATATATATTTTAATAATTATTTAAAAATATTTATTAAGTATTTTTTAAAATATTAGAAAAACATTAAAAAAGATAAAAAATTTTTTTGACATAAACAAGTTACACACATAAAAATAAAATCTTTAAAATATATATTTATAATTTTAAAAAACTTTTATTAAAATTTTAAAAAATAATGAAAAAACATAAAAATAAAATATGTACCACGTGGCACATTGTAGGAGGAGCATTAAACCACCTACATAAGCAAATTTAATTGTATGCGTTCCAACAATAACTTGCTTTATACGATAATGCAACTTTACCTTATAATTTTATTATAAAATTTTATTAAAAATTATAAACTAATATTTATTAAACCTATGTATAATTTATTAAGATACTGTTCATCTTCTACCTCTAGCCTGGTCGTCCGACCCGATTAAAGGAAATCTGACCCGATTTGGATTTGTTCGGGTTTGCTTAAATTTTGTATGGATTTGTACAATTTTTAATGCCATTAAACCCTCTGCTTCAATTAATACATGTGTGTATAAAATTATTTTTTAAATTACATCAAAACAACGAAAATCAAGATGACTTAAGCCAAAACATTTTGGATTTCATCCTCCTTTGTAGACCTGTTTACAATTTCTTAATTTTCTTCTTCGATTTGCATTTTAAAATAAATTTTAATCAGATCTAACACATCTGAATCTCGATTAAGACAAATTAGTATTACCACTATCATTGTTTTTTGGGTCATCTCTATTTTCAACTAAATACAAAATTCTAAAGTATTTAAAAAAAAAATTTTCCTTTCTATATGAGTTAAGGGAAAATCAGTATATAACTTAAAATTTCGAATGAATAATAAATATCCTTGGTAGATAAAACAAGATAAATCATAGAAAACAAATTATAAGTATGATTATATTAATTTGATTCAGATTTCAGAGGTTGTGTTGTGGGTCAGAGAGGAACAGCAGAAAGAAAAAGAAAGTCCTTCCCATTTCAGATTTTTTAAGCCTCTGAGAGAGCATCAGAGAAAAATAGTATCAGACATTTTTCTCTTTCTTTCTATCTGCTTTGCTTGAATTGTTGGGTATTGGTCTTTGGGAGTTATGAGGGCTGGCTCTGCATGATTCTCATTTTTTGCTTGTATTATGCATGCTTTTGTTCTGCATGATTCTCATTTTTCAAAGCCTAATTTCAACAACGAAATTTCCCGGGGCTGAGGGCTCCTCATCTTACGCGAAGACACCTCATCTCCCTCGAAACCAAAATTCCACAAACACAATTAGTGGTCCTTCCTCGCAAGAAAAAGCAACAAAAGCAGTGCCGTTTACGCAAAGCAAACGTCGCTAAGATCCCTAACCCTTATCCAAGTTTCCTTCCTCAATTCTAATAGATTTGTAGCTTTTACATTCTATGGATAGAAAGTTTAACGACACTTTAAATCTTATCTTACTTTAGAAGCAGTCTTTTTAGTTCGCCTATCCTGACCGTATTCTTTCATATTTATACAACGTTGACTATCCAAAAGTTTCGGTCATATAGCTTTATCTTTTCACAGATCTTTACGTTTGCCCATAATTTCGCTTTGCCGTTATATTTAGCCAATGCTTCAGTATATTTCTTGTGGGGAATATATCTGCTTCTTCTGGATTTTCTTGGTTTACTGAATGAAAATTTTAGATTGCCAAAGAAAATCGTTTTTTGGTTTAAAGTCTTCTTAGAGGCTTTTTGGGTTTCTGGGTTTTGTTTTGATTCATTTGGGAAGGGAAAACCGAGCTGATTCTTTGATTCTTGTGCTGGTGATGAGATTTAGAGCTTTGGATTTCCTTTGACTCGTTTCTTTTAGATATTAAGAGAATTGTTTTATTGTTGGTAATTAGAGTTGTGGGGTTTTCTTTGACTTGTTTTGTAGATGCTCAGAAATTTGTTGGAATTCAGGAGCATGAGTTTGGAAACTATCGCTTTTATCCGTTTCCTGCGATATACTATGTTCAAATAGAATTGCCTTTATTTTTTTTTTCAATTGCGATAGTTCATTATGCTGGTTTTCTATAGATTTCAAGAAAAGCTGTTGTCTTTTTCCTTTTCCATTCAATGTTAAAGTGTGTGTATATATATATATATATATAATGGTGGGAGGTGAAATTAGGCTTATAGGACCAGTTTCTCATTGATCTTTATTAATGTCGAATTCAAGTCCTGAACAATCCATCAGGTTCACTTTCTCTTTTTCTTTGTTCTTTGGTGCAAAACAAAGCCGATACAGTCTTGTATTCATCTTTCTCATCTTATTTCTTCATTCCTTTTGTGAAAATTTCTCGTTCCGCTAACCACCTATATCATCCTAGATCAACATTCTCTGTTTCCTTATGTGTTGTCCGCTCTGCAGCCTAAGTCATCCTAGTTCTTGGCTGTTAACAAATTAAACCATTCCAACACAAGTTCTCATTGTAAACTAGCTATGGATATAACTAATGAGGCCAGTGTTGATTCATTTTCGATCGGTCCTTCAACAATCATTGGTCGGGCAATTGCTTTTAGGATCCTGTTCTGTAAGTCAATGTCACATTTCAGGCATCAAATCTTTCATGTATTGTTGCATTTTATCTATAGATGTAAGGGCTTCTTTGCACCCTTGATATCATGGTTGCATCCCCGAAATCCACAAGGGATATTGGCGTTGGTGACAGTTATTGCTCTTTTTTGGAAACGTAACGCAGATGTAAAATTGAGGGCTGAAATGGCTTACAGAATGAAATTTTGGAGAAATATGATGAGAAATGCATTGACATATGAAGAGTGGGCTCATGCTGCTAAGATGATTGATAAAGAGACCCCAAAGATGAGTGAATCGGATCATTACGATGAGGAGCTTGTGAGAAACAAGCTTCAGGAGCTCCGACTCCGTCGCCAAGATGGATCTCTTAGAGATATAATCTTTTGCATGAGAGCTGATCTTATCAGAAATCTTGGTAATATGTGTAATCCTGAGCTTCATAAAGGTAGGCTTCACGTGCCTAAACTCATCCAGGAATACATTGATGAGGTCTCGACTCAGTTGAGAATGGTTTGTGACTCTGATTCAGAGGAGCTCTCCTTGGACGAGAAGCTTGCTTTTATGCATGAAACAAGGCATGCATTTGGTAGAACTGCTTTGCTTTTAAGTGGGGGTGCTTCCCTTGGCGCATTTCATCTTGGTGTAGTTAAAACACTAGTAGAACATAAGCTTTTACCCAGGATAATTGCTGGTTCTAGCGTTGGATCCATTATGTGTGCTATTGTTGGCACTAGAACATGGCCCCAGCTGCAAAGTTTCTTTGAGGACACTTGGCGCTCAATGAAGTTTTATGATCAGCTGGGTGGAATTTTTTCAGTTGTTAGGAGGGTCATGAGACAAGGGGCTGTTCATGATATCAGATACATGCAATGGATGTTAAGACAGCTCACAAGTAATCTTACATTTCAAGAAGCTTATGATATGACCGGTAGAATTCTTGGGATAACAGTTTGCTCTCCAAGGAAGCATGAGCCACCTAGGTGCCTTAATTATTTGACTTCGCCTCATGTTGTCATATGGAGTGCAGTAAGCGCTTCTTGTGCCTTTCCTGGCCTTTTTGAGGCCCAGGAGCTAATGGCAAAAGACAGGAGTGGAGAAATTGTTCCTTACCATCCACCCTTTAATTTGGATCCTGAGGAGGGTTCTGGTACATCTGCACGTCGATGGAGGGATGGCAGCTTGGAGGTTGATTTACCTATGATGCAACTGAAGGAGCTGTTTAATGTCAATCATTTTATTGTGAGTCAGGCGAACCCTCACATCGTACCATGGTTGAGGTTGAAGGAGTTTGTGAGAGCCTTTGGTGGTAACTTCGCTGCAAAGGTATGTTTATATTGGTTAACACTTAAGAAAGAAGAATCCTTTTTACTTTGGTTTACATATGTTCTCTTTATTGGACTATTTATTTACATATAGTACGATCTTGTTAGTTGTTGTTACGCTATTCTTTTCTGTTTTCTTGTCTTATTATTGGCACGATGAAATGAAATAAACTATTTTCATTGTTTTAAATTGTAGCTTGCTGGCCTAATTGAGATGGAGGTAAAACATAGATTTAGTCAGATACTGGAACTGGGCTTTCCTCTGGGGGGCGTTTCCAAGGTTATGACTCAAGATTGGGAGGGTGATGTTACTGTTTTTATGCCAGCCACACTTACTCAGGTATGTGCAAAATCCTTTTGAGGACCTTTGGTGACATTCAAATTAAAAATTGTCTGAAGATGCACTGGGATTTAGTGGCATTTAAACCTAGATTGGTATTTGTTTTGAGAAATGCGTAGAGTAGCTTCAGGTTTTATATTAACTGAGTCTATCTATGCTGTTTGTCATATGCATATTATTCAATAATCTTTTCTATGGTGATTGAATGGCTGTTTTTTCATGGTTTTAACTATAACAGTACTTGAAAATTCTTGAAAACCCATCTCTTTTGGGGCTTCAAAAGGCGTCCAACCAAGGGAGAAGATGCACTTGGGAGAAGCTTTCAGCTATCAAAGCAAACTGTGGTATTGAGCTTGCCCTTGATGAGTGTGTTGCAAATCTTAATCATATGCGTAGACTTAAACGGTGTGCAGACAGAGCTGGTGCTGCTTCTGCTTCTGCTTCATCTCATGTTCTATACAGCACAGCCAGATTCAATGCATCAAGAAGAATTCCTTCTTGGAATTGCATTGCACGAGAAAACTCAACAGGCTCCCTTGAAGAAGATCTTACAGATGTTACTTCATCATTGCATCAAGGGGTTGGTGGTTCCACAGGAATACCTCCCTCTGCTAGGAATTTGCGAGCCCATCGCAGTACACATGATGGAAGTGATAGTGAGTCTGAAAGTGTAGACTTACATTCTTGGACAAGATCTGGTGGGCCATTGATGAGGACTACTTCTGCAAATTTGTTCATTGATTTTGTCCAAAATCTAGACGCTGATGGTAAAGTTAACAAAGGTCTGATGGCTCATCCAAATTCTCCTGGATTTCAGATGGGAGGTGGGGATCCTTTTGGTCACAGCTCTAGTATGACAACAGCAGATGGAGGCTCGGAATATGAGTTTGATCAGAGGGATGTGGGGAACAGAACACCAGTTACTGGTTCTAGCATTATGGTTGCTGAAGGTGATCTCCTGCAGCCTGAAATGATCCCTAATGGGCTTGTGCTCAACGTTGTAAGGAAAGAAGACTTGGCACTGTCACGTAAAAGCCATGGTTCAGGAAATTACAGCCCTGAAATAGCTGAATCCCTGCAGCTTGATTGTCCAGATAAGGAAATGGATGCTAGCTCGGCATCTGAATATGGCGATGATGATGTCAGTGCTGTAAACTGCCTGAATGAAACAGTTCCTATTGCTAATGCCGCTGACCACTCTAGTGTCCATGATGGTGATAATCAGGGTGTTGTGGATGGTTAATTTTAAGATTAATGTTGCTTCTATCATTCTATACTTTCCAAGTTGACAGAGTTCTTTATGAGGTAACAGATTGGCCGCGTTGAATAAGCTGAAGTTTTGCTAATGTGGGCAGGGTATGCCCAAAAAAACGGAAAGAAGGACAGGAGGGACAGAAAGAGAAATAAAGGAGAGCAGAGGGGAGAAGAAAGAAAAAAAAGAAAAAAAAATATTGTTTTTTACTTTTAAAAAAGTATAATTATATTTTTTATGAAAAATAACGGGTAATATCTATGTCTCCACCACGTGGATGTTATGTGTACAAATCATCAATTATTATTGGCTAATTTGCCATGATAAATAACAGTGTGAATGCTTAATTGGTTAGTAACCAATTCATCGTCTATTATTAAAGTGTTAAAGCAAAGCGTCAAATTATTCCACGGCTTCAAAATAGAGGTATTATCTTAAATATTTTTTAAAATACAGATATTACATTTGAAAAAGATACGTAGTACAAAAAATAGGGATCGCAACAGTTGTAGTGTGTTTATGCATCGAACTTTTTTAATATTTAAATTTAAAATTAATTCGATATTAAAATATTATTTTTATATTTAATTTAATATAATATATAAAAAATATTTTTTAATATGAATTATATTTAATTATACATAAATATAATAATTTTACTAAATTAATATATTAAATTAAAAAGTTAAACAATAATTTTATTAATTAATATATATAATTAAATAAATAAAAAATTTATATATATTTCGATTGGGTCAGAGTGGTGCCACTCAAAACTGACTTTGACGTGAATTTGATCTTAAAAATTTTTTTTGATCTTATTTAATTGAGGTGTATAAAAAATCATCAAATACGAATTATTTTTATTTTTATGTAAGAACCAAATATGACATTAGATTGAAATATGAAATTTTTACAACAAAAAATTTTTTTTGACCTACATTGAAATACAATTGTTCTATATAAAAGTAAAAACATACACTTTATTATCACAAAGATTTAATTTTTAATTTTTACTTAAAAATTTTATTTGTTATTGTATTTAAACACATTTCTTGGTTTATTGCTTTAAAAAAACAAAAGATAAATATTGAATAACAAAAAATCCAAACAGTATGTCCAACTTAACTCGTAAATTTCATAAATAATTAATGTATTGTAGACATGAGATAATATTTAATTACTCCTAGTTGAAGTAATAAGGTAATAAATTTTTTATAAATTGAAAGTTTTTAGATTTAACACTAGGATGGTGTCCTGCTTCGTTGGGGATTTTTTTAATATTTATTTCTTGGTTATTTAATATTTAAAAATAATTTTAATTAAATTATATCAAATAATAATTATTTATTTATATAATAATTTTTTATGTATTAATATCTACTAATATTAATACAATTATATTTGTTAATTATAAAAATTAATTATTATTAATTACATAATAAAATGCATTTGTATTTGTCGTTTATATACTATTTTTTAAATACTTATATTTTATTATGTAATTAAATCTATATTTTTAGTGATGGTTTTAAAAAATTTAGCAAATTTCATGCAAATAAATTTTCTTAACAATAACAATATAATCGTCAAATGAAATCATTATTTAAAATATAATCTTAAAAGTATTTTTTAAAAAGCAGAAATTAATTTTATTTTTATTATTAATAAGTATCAAAATTTCATATTAATAATAAATATTATAAAAATCAATATTTTTTTATTATTATACTATCATAAAATAAAATTAATATTTAAAAAAAAATTAAACCAAACTTAATCTTTGAGCTAAAAACCCAAACAAAAAGATCAAAAATCAAATGGCCAGTGCCTTCTACGTTTCTTTCTTCTAGTCCCTTTTAAAACAGTATAGTGTATTTATTTGATGACCCTAAAATAAACATAATTCTTTTTATTTCCCTAATTCCTAATTAAGTCGCGATTTTTTTCTTACAAAAATCCCTCCTTTTGTCTTTTTCAAACCTCGAAATCAACTCAAGTTCCAAAATCACCTCAGGTCGCTTCTTCCACCCTCCTTCAAAATTCATTTGGAGGACGTTGGGTGCTTAGATCTTGTTTTTTTTTTTTTTTTTTAATTGTGGATTATGATTTTTTACTGAATTTATTTTTTGATATTCTTTTGATTGTGATTTTTGAGTAAAAAAATTTGGATTTATTTATTTTCTTGTTATTTTTGGATTATTTTTATATTTTTTGTTTTTGGATCTGAGTGAAATTTTTGGAATTATTTTGGTTGTCATTTTTGTTGAAAAAGGATTATTAGCTTGAAGATGGTTTTAGGTTTTTGATTTAGCCTAGACTTGTTTGAATTTCTTAAAAATTTTAAAATTTTTTTTTAATTTTTGGATTAATTTTAAATTTTAAATTTTTAATCTGATTGATTGTTGTGAAATTGTGTTTTGTTTGGATTGTAGAGATGGTGGTGTTGCTTTCAGATCAATTTTTATTTATTTATTTCTTTCTGATTTGTACTATTTTGTTTTTTATTGCATTTTCTTGCGTTGCTTGGTGTAAAAAAAATAGAAGAAAAAAGTCTGATAGGTTTATTATAATATTAATAATGAATAAGACTAAAATAATATTTTCAAAATTTGACAGGTGCCAACCAACTATTTTTAATATATAGTTAATCGATAGGAGTTAAAGTGAAACTTGCCACATACTATAATTTAATATTGAAATTTGTCATTATATATTTATTTTATTGAATTTTTTATTGTACTTTTAATTTTATTTTTTTTGGATAATAAATAAATAATTGAAATATTTTACGAAATATTTTGTTAGTGTAATTGTCAATTGGGCCATTAAACTTTCAATTTCATTGATTGATGGGCAAAAAATAACTGAATTAAAATGTCACAAATATTTTATTAATGCAAATAACAACTTTAGTCAATTTGGTTATTTTATGTAAAAAAATTTAAACAAAATTAAAGGTAAAATGTCAAAATTTAACAAAATTAAAACACAATAACAAAGTTTAATATTGACCTATATTATAATGATAAAAATATTAATTTCAATTTTTTAACAATAAAGTGTATAAAAGTTATGTTTGTTGTATAAAATGATAAATAAAATATGATAATAATAATTTTATATTATATTTGATTTTATTTAAAGAAGATATAATTATAAGGAAGATTAATTATTCTCTTGATATAAGATAATTTAATTTTTTCAAAGTGCAAAAAATTATTTTTAATTTATGAAATTGAACTTACATATCTTATTATATTTTTAAAAATTATATCAATAATTTAAATTTTATAAATTTTAAAAAAATAATTTTAATCAATAAATAAATTATTTTATTCTAATTCTTGTACACATCAAATATAAAATAAAATAATATTATTTAATTTAATTTTATTTATAATATTAATTTATTTTATCTTATCATAATTTTATATATCAAACACATCCAAAAGTGTTGCATTTATGAAAATGCAGGTTAGTGCATGATTTCATGGAAGATTTTAATCATTTCATCCATCTAAGGTTTGTAGAAATTGAAAAATAAAGCATTAAAAATTTAAATATCGAATTTTTAATACTAAATTTGATAAATATTGAATAAGAATTATAAAAATTGTTTGATATTTATTTAAAAATTAAATGCTAAATATAAATATATTTGTTTAATAATTATGAAATATTAAATTCTGAAAATTTATCATTTTATTGTTTTATTTTTATTGTAGATAATGAAAATAGTATTTTTAAGAAATAATAATTAAAAAAAGTTAAAAATTTATTAAACATTTTCTACCTTAAGTGATAAATACGTCTATATCTATTTATCTAATTCAATACTTTTTTATTGAAAGAACTTTTTAAGTCGATTTTAAAATATGTTATTAAGTGTATTAAAAAAATAAAATGTCGAAAATTTTCATTTTTCAATGCAATGAAAATCTTTAATAATTTATGAAACAAGGCCTAAGACTAACAATTTTATTATTTTTTTAGAAATAAATATATTTTTCAGCGAAATGATTGAGAATTTTTCTTTTTTCATTTAAAGAGGTTTTTAAATTTAGAAATGTTAAAAAATGTTTATTAATTCACTTAATAAAACGGTACTTATAGCGAGAATATATGAAATAATCACCGTTTTATTTTATTTTTTTATTCTTAAAATGAAAGTAACATGAAGTTGTAAATTTGCCACGTCAGGTAAGAGAATGATGAAATTGGAGACGAAGATTTAGATGCCACGTCTCTCTTGCCTGTTATACTTATCCAATCACCGCTGAATAGTTCAACAATAATTTGGACCACGTGACAACTTAATACCCAAAAATATTTTTTAAAAAAAATAAAATGTCGAGAAGTTTTTTAAAATAATTTAATTCACAATTTTAACTTAAAACTAGATTGATACCTTCACTTCGCCCAAAGTTTCTTAAAAATATTTATAAATTTTTTTGCTTAATTAATTTTAAAATATAATTTTAAAGTAAATTATATTAAATAAAATTTAGTTAATAATTTTTTTATATATATTTATGTGTGTATTGATAGTGATATAATCATGTTTTATCAATTATGAAAGTTGAATATATAAAAATTAATTATTTATAAATTACATAATAAAAACGTATTTGAAATGCCAAATAAACTTACTTTATTATACATTTGAAATACCAAATCTTTTATAGTAAAATTTCATATGCAAAAGATAAAATTATGACATTATGATCAAGAAACCAGCATTTAGAACAATTGCAAAGGTTTCAATAATAAATGAGCCATCAATGTTGATGGTAAAATTTTATTGTAATGTAAAACATACTTGTACCATTTCATTGACAAAGTCAAAAGCTCCAGGTTCAATGAGAGATCTTACCAACGAATATCCGATAATTACTTATATAATATATAACAATAAACTAAGAAATTTGGGTAGAACTTAACATTGAAATCAAAGATTAGCTAAGCTTAAATCAATACAATATGATTGGTTGTCCAACACAAGCAAATGCAAGGTCCCCATAAGTTGCAAACATGATGTCAACTACCAAATTTGATACCAGTCTACAAAGCATAAGCAAAAAAAAAAAAAAAAGTTTAGATCAACTTATTAATTGAATGTTAAAAGTAACTTCGATGAAACAGAAGATAGTTAGAAGTTTACTTAAGTCCAACTGTAATACTAGATATTTTAATTTAAAATTAGATATAATGAAGACGTTATCCTAAAAATAAATCACTATCTAAGACCTGTAAGTATCGCAATAAATTTTAATAAGAAGTTTTAAGTGAACCAATCTAACCTTTCAATCTATCAACATAGGTGTATCTTTAGCTTTGTTATCATTCTCTAGATTAAAAACGTTAATGAGT